TACAAACACCAATGTATAGGAAACAAATTAAACATTTTTCTTACATTTGTAACAATTTATAATAAACAATATCAAATAAAATATAATAACAAAATTTGAATAGTTAAAATATTTGTTTTTTGAAACAAACTTAGCTAACCTTCAGGTAATATAAATGTTCACAATATAGTATTAAATATTAAAATCCTTAAACAATATAATTTGTATTAATAATTATCATATCACATTTTTAGTTTTCAAATCAGTCTTTGATTTTTAATATAAAATTTGTACATATATTAAATTCTGTTAAGTATACAAACACCAATGTAAAGTTAACAAATTAAAATGTTTTTTTACATTTGTAACAATTAATACTAAACAATATCAAACAAAACAATAAAACATAATAACAAAATTTGAATAGTTAAAATATTTGTTTTTTGAAACAAACTTACCTAACCTTCAGGTAACATACATTTTAACAATATAGTCATTAAAATCCTTAAATAATATAATTTTTATTTATACTTATTATATCATATTTTTTAGTTTTCAAATCAGTCCTTGATTTGTGATGTCCAATTTAAATAATTCATAGTTTGAAAACTTACATAGTGTGAAATAATAAAAAACAATTTCTCTCCTTATTGATACATAGTGGTATAGTGCATTTTTGACATGATATATTTGTTTTAAATTTGCAGTCAGGGTATTTGCATCTTGTTCTTGAATCGTTATGAACAGGAAGATGGTCCATTCCATCAAGTTATTTCTTGTGCAGGTATTTCTTTACATAGACCTCGTTTCCGTTTTTTCTCATTATATCTTAACTCAGTTGTATTCTCTTCTTGAGTAGGTCTTCCTCGCCTTCTTGGTGTCACTTTTTGTTCTTCACATAAAACTTCAGATTCTAAAAGTTTGAAGTCTACAAGTGGTAAATATAAGTCATCAGTATGTACTCTCCGATATAGCAACCATGCATTTACCACACACAAATCCAAAATATGAAAAAATATTTTCATATAATATGATCTTATATTTATTCTATAATAACCAAGCATTGAATCTAACAAATCCACACCACCCATGTATTTGTTGTATGTATCTATTGTTTTAGGACATGGTACCATTTTATGTATTTTTTCATTTCTGAAAAATCGTTTTTTTTCACCAATTGGATGGCATCCAACATATTTGATACCATATTTACCACTTTATTGTCATACCATGATACTGCCGATATTTTAATATCATCAATAGTTGTAGGTTTCTCACAGTATGACCCTCTTCCCATTTTTTTTAATTCTTTTTACTAGGCATTTGTAGTCCACTTAGGCGATTTAATCTTGCAGTTCCTAGAGGAAGAATGCCTTCTTTCTCTAAGTAAATCAATAAATTCAGACTTGTAAACCAATTATCAAAAAAGATTTTGTAATTATGATTTCTCGGAATTGACGCAGCCATTTTAACAACCATATTACTACTTGCTGATAGTGAAGGCAAATCATCAGGCATTATATTTGTTTGAGCCCCAGCAAATACTTCAAAGTCGTAGCTAAATCCAGATATACCACTCAATACAAACACTTTGAATCCCCACTTGTGGGGTTTATTCGGGTTGTACTGCTTGGTGATCTGGACTTAGTAGGTATAATTTGCTCATCCACAGCAAGGTATTCTTCTTTGGGAATTGTGGCACATATATTTCTAACTGCATCGAGAAGAGGACGTACTTTAAACAATTTGTCATAATTTATACCATTTGTTGGCAAATTTGCATTATTATTAAAATGAATAAACCTCTTAATTTCTTCAAACCTATTGATGGACGTAGTATTAAATATTGAAGGAATTCCAAGTTCACCCCAATAATGCCTTGTTGTGGGCAAATGTACTGTTGACATTTTTAAGCAAATCCCTATGAACTGTTCTATTTCCTTATTACTAACATTGGTTGGTTTATCAGTTCTGATTTGTGAAGCATATATATTTGTTTGCTCAGTAATATATAAAATAAGAGATTTAGGAAATAATTCAGTAAAAAATTCATATGGTGATACCATATTTTTGATATGAGTGGGCAAATTTGTATCTCCTGAAAATTTAATTTGGTCCTCAGGTCTATCGAGATAGTTTTCTGTCCAAATAAGTTTAGTTTTATTTTTTTTTTTATTATTATTTAAAACTGACTGATCTCTAATATTTTGATTATTTAATCTAGCAGCTAGTGGAATATCATCTTCACTTACAAGTTCATCATCAGAAGACGGTATAATAAGGGTTAAATTGTCATTTTCTTTGCTTGTCTCACTTTCTTCATCAGTATCATATGATAATATTTTATTTGGTTGGTATATATCATCATCATCAGATGCCGAATTGAAGTCACTTCCTTCAGGATTATTTGTTTGAATGACTTTCTGATTCCTATTACTTCTCGTACCATCATTTTTCGTTCTGCCAGAATAAAAATAAAAATTATTAAAACAATATTTTTATGCATGAAGTGCCATATATGGCACAAATTATATGAACCGTAATTGCGCGTTGTGCCATATATGGCACATAGTAATTATTCGTCATAACTCACAAACTATTTTAGCTAAAAACATATATTTACGTTTTTTGGTATCAAGACGAAAATTCCAATCTACTAGTATTTTTGTTTTTGATGATTGGTGATAAAGAAGTCCTGTTATCAAAATATAATCACGTGCATAAACTGATAATGACACGCCAAAAATTTGATTAGGAATTTATGAATTATAGTACGCAATTTTAACGCTAGATAGAAGTACTTTACATACAATTTGTTTAGTTTTTCGTGCCGAATATGGCTATGTATGAAGTAATGGAATCGGATAATTTTTAAGTGAAATAAACAAAAAAAACTAATTTGTGACATTTTTGGTACAAAATGCAGAAAGGGGTAAGGGTTACCTCATACCGGGCAAAATCACGTAACCAATATCCGACGTAAATATACGAAGGATTGGTATGTAACAAATTGTTTTACCTTTACTTTTAGTTCTTGAGTACATTCCAAAAGGAATGTATATTCCTTATAAAGATAATAATACGGAAACAATAAGAAGCAATCATAATGTAAGTGTAATGTACTATACTTGGGGCAGCGGTACAAATTATAGTTTAGTATACAGTTGCCGCATGATGCATGATGCGAGAAATTCTGACTTTCCGCGGTATTCAGCTTCTCCTCGCAAACCATTTCAAATGTTAAATCTTTTAAGCATGTTGATAGGATAGCAGAGTACTTAAACTTTCCCAGGACGTATTTTTTGTAGCTGTAGGAACGATGGTTTTTTTTAAGTCATAGTTCGGCATGCCGTTGCTGCAAATATCACCATTTGACGGTGTTTCAATTATAAATAATAAAATATTAATAATTTATGAATACATTTTGAAAAAATGCAGGCCATTCAAGAACCTAAATTATGGAGGGACTCACGTCGTCAAAATAAAAAAAAAAATGTGGAATCGTATCTAAGCCTGTCATGAAAAGAAGTATAAAATATTCATGCCATAGCGATGTAAGTATAATAAAGTACTATTCATTTTATAAATAATAAAATATTATTAATTTATTCAATTTTCCCAACACATCAATTTTAAGTGAGGCCAAGATGATGGCCACCCTCAAGAATTCGAAAATTGATTCAAACTTACAGCATATCACATCGAATTCATTAGGGTTATTCAATATGAACACAGAAGACATTTTACAACACCAATCACTACATATTCAATATTTATTAAATTTCAAAGGCATACATATTTCTACGTCAAATCAAAAATATTTACAAATGTTCAATAACATAAAAAATAACTTTAACATACATGCGGACAATAATTCTATCATTTCTTTTCTGGTATCGACTAATAACAATTAAAAAAAAAAAAATCAAAAAAAGATATATTAAAATACAAAAATGAAGTAAAACAAATAGTCGAGAGCAAAACATTTAAAAATACTATACTGCTTGATCATTTTAAGTCAGTACTGGTAAAAAACAAATTAAACATTGAAATTTTTTTTTATATTTTTATATAACACTGCTTACAGTTCTGCGACGCTGGACACGACTACCGAAAATTATGAGTATTATTACAATACATCGAATTTAATTATAAAATTAATATCACTATTGGATGACACAGTGGCGCACACTGGGAGGATCAGGGGTGTCGACTGACACCCCTCAGAGAATTGGTAGGTTAGGGTGACAGGTTCTGGGTGAATTTGGATGTTATTTTGATAAATATTTGTTTGATATTAAGGCTCTTTTCACACACACACGGTTTCTGTGTAAACGGTTTTTCGACGGTTTACTAATGTATGGCTATTTATGGAAGGTTTCACACGTTATCTCGACCGTGCCGTGTCCGTGTTGCGTCCGTGCGAGTCCACACGGTTCAAAGTTCCGTCACGGCTCAGTAATGCATTGCATATTACGATACCATTCACACATACACGGCACGGACGTACTCACGGCACAGTCAATTCATTTTTTTTTCTGTCATTCTGTATGTTGTACGAGTACATACAATACTAACAATTATTATGGATGTCGATTTATTAATCTCACTTGTAGAAGTTCGTCCAGTATTGTGGGATAAAACATCTAATATATATAAAGACAGGATTGAAACAAAAAATGCCTGGAAAGAAGTGTGTATGGAATTGAATAGTGATTTCAGTAATTACGACGATGAGCAAAAAAATAATTTTGGTAAGTTTACTTATTTAATTTATTTTATATAGGTTCTCAAAAATATCAGTTTTGGGTAGTATAAAGTAAATATGGTATCTCCAGGTACAATATTAAATGAGTTATACAAGGTTTTATTCTCGAAAATGTACAAGTTATTTAGTAGTTAAGTACAAAGTATTTAATATTTATATGTTAGTTATTTTATTAATATCTAAAACAAAAAATATTTTGCATAATAGTTATGTACTATATATAAACAGTATTAATTATATTTAAGTATAATGTCTATATTTTTAACATTTGCCATTTTAAAGCCCCTGCATTTGATGTAAAATAATCACATAACACATTGCGGACATTATTAGCTGCTAATCCTCCTCGTGTCTCCTGTTCTCTTTGTAATTCATCAAGAGCTATTATTACTTCGGTGTCCTCAACTTGATATCCGTCCCTGTCTCGAACAAAATTATGAAGAATGACACAAGCTTTGACAATTATAACTGCAAAGTCGGGTTCCAAGTTAATTGGTCTGTGAAATATCCTCCACTTGTTGCTCAAAATTCCGAAAGTGCACTCTACATATCTCCTAGCCCTACTTAGGCGATAATTAAAAATCCTTTTTTTCTCTGTAAGTTGCGATCCACCAAAAGGGCGAAGTAAATGTTTGTGGAGCGCAAATGCTTCATCTCCAACGAAGAAATAAGGTAACTTGTGATTTTTTATTCCGGTTACATTTGTTTCAATAGGTATTTCTAGCTTTTTATTTATAACTGATGTCCATAATGATGACCTTTTGAATACAGACGAGTCACAATCTTTTCCATAACTCCCGATGTCGACATATACAAAGCGATAATTAGCATCAGCTACGGCCATTAAAACTACAGATGAATAGCCTTTGTAATTATAATACATGGAACCTAGGGGATTAATAATTCTGATGTGTTTTCCATCGACTGCTCCTAGGCAATGTGGAAAATTGGCTCGTGTCTCAAATTCTTTAGTAATCGATTCCCATTTTTCTTTATTAAGGAGAGGTATACACTCCGTTAACATTACTTCCCAGATACTTATACATACATTTTTAACTATGTTGCTGATGGTTGAAATGCCAAGTCTGTAATTAGGATGTAAATCAGTAAAAGTACACCCACTTGCTAAATACCTGAAACCAAAATAAATTATTTATAATTTGTTTAGGCAAGGAAGTTGTGAAGCGATGGGTGAATATTCGAGATGCGTTTATTAAATCAACGAAAAGAGAAAAATCACTAAATAAATCTGGTGCTGGTGCTTCAGTAATAAAAAAATATGTCTACGCAGAACAGCTGAAATTGTTATCAAAAGTATTTTGTCCACGGTCAACTGAAGATAGTTTATCTATCAACTCGGGTAATGAAGATACTGAACCAACTGTTTCAGAAAATGACAACAGAAACGAAAGTGGACAATTTAAAATACCACCTAGAAAACAACTCGGATCTCGTAAAAGAAAGATGGATGAGGTTGACATGAGAATGTTAAAGGCGTTGGAAGAACCAGAAGATCGTCATTTTTCTTTTTTTAAAGGCATTGTTCCAACTTTGCATACATTCACAGAAGATGAAACGGTAAATTTCCAGATGGGTGTACTACAATTATTGACCAATATTAAGCAGAGACGATTTCAAACACAAAACCCATACATGGATTTCAATACTAATCTTAATTATAATCGCTGTATTCCTACTCAAAAATATATGCAAAATTATGATCTGCATCTGCCCATAAATCAAACATGATCATCTTCTATTCACTACCAAACTACAGAGAATCGCCCCACACATACAGACGTCCATCACCAATATAACCATATTGACGACAATCCGTTTTCAGTTGATAGCAATACAGACGAGTCATTAGTATATTTAGATTTTTCATAATAATTCAGATAATATATTAAATACTGTAATTATAATACTATTTGTATAATGCATTAATATTTTTTTCTTAAAAAAGTGTGATGTGAGTGTTATGAAACACTAATAAATCATTTTTAACAGTCACAAATAAATTGTAAAAGTTTGCTACATTTTAATAAGTAAAATATTCAAAAAAAAAAAAAATATTTATTATTATATTATTATTTACCTATCTATTATGTATTATTATTTTTAACTATGTATTCACTTACCTTAGAGTTACAGCTAACATTTGTATAGGTTCGATGCAGTCTCTCATAAACGTATTCTGCAATGTATTTTTCAGTCGGTCGTGTAATTTGTCAGAAGATTTAATTGACATTCGAAAATACATAAAAAAAACTTATCTTCGTGTTCTCGGAGGTCCTTAAGAGTGTGCAATAGTAAAAGTGTTACGTATACAACGCTCCAGAGATGGCGTTGTGCGCCGTATCGCCGCCGTCGCGGCTGGACGTAACCACGCCCATNCGAGAATTCATTTTAGAAGATATGATTGGTTTTACAACCAACCCTTTTTTTTAGCTGTACTTCCCTTCTTTTTACACGATTCGCAATTATTTAAGTATACCATTATTACATCTCTAGTTATATTTTTGTACTTTTTATTAATCTCGTGTTCCATTCTATTTCTACCTCCATGTCCAATTGACAAATGAACTTCATGTATAATATCATATAACTGAACAACCTTTAAATACATTTAAAATTTAATTGATTAAAAAAAATTGTAATACTCACATATAAATAACCATATAAACGAGTATAATAATTATTAGTATATAATATCATTGATTAGGTTAAATAATATCATGCAGATTATTTGTATAAATACTTCACAATTTACATTGCCCAATATACCTCGGACATTGTATACAATGCCCGGTCACTGTGTACAATGCCCGGGCATTGTATACATTGCCCGAATTTTCCACTTTGCCCGTAACATATATATTATTGTATTTATGACTATACTATAGACATATTATAGTATATACTAATAATTAATATACTATATAGACATATTGCAATTATTAATTCGTAGTATTATACTTAGGGATTGACCGATATCACGTTTAACCGATAACCGATAAACCAATATGTTATGCAAATTTAAAACCGAACGCATGAACCGATATTATAAAATGCCCGATAATACTTACCGATAACCGATAATAATTAGCAATAAGTACTAAGTAGCAATTAGATATTATAAAAAAATTATATATTTATAATTATAATATATTAGAATTAGATACTATACATAATATAATGATAAATATTAAATTGTTAGGTTTTTTTTTATATCGGTTCAAATATCGGTTTTTAAAAAAACCCGATACCGATAAAACCGATATCGCCAATATCGGCCGACAATCAATATCGGTTTGCATATCGGCCCAGCCCTAAAGTTATACTGTTATAGTGAATAGTGATTATTATTATTTATTAATTACTTATTTGGAATATAACTAGAAAGTTTATATTTCTATGAAATGTATGTTACATTGATAGGTAGGTAATAACTAATTATACAATTTCCAGAACGGACCTAATTAGTAATTTCTGTTACGATGATACTTATGCCGTGTTTTCTACAAACTACACTCTACATTCTTTTTATCATGCCTTAAATATACTTAAATTTTAATTTAAGCCATGCTTTTTATATTATATTGGGATATAAATAAAATAATATATAAGATATAATTGTTGTTGACTTTATAAGTCTCCATATTATTTAATTTATATTTTAAATGTAAGCTACAACTATAACAAGTATTTATAAAATAATATAGTCTGTGCATTTGTTATTAATTTGTTTTTCTTCATACCAAAACTAGTTATTTTCCTTCGATGAGATAAAAAAACTTTTATGATTAAGTTTAATTTCTTTCTAGGTACTTTTTTCGGTTTATCCATCACCTGATATTGAACTGTTTATACTGTGTTTCGAAACACTGCATTTATATAATTCTATTTCTTATAAATTAATGTTAGGTGTACTACGTATTTATTATTATTATTTTAGATTATAATCTACACGACGACATGAGCACCTACAATAGAACGATTTTCCGTTTTTTTATAAAATTATTAGAAAAATAATATCAAATGTCCGGTTGTTCATAACACAACCGTGTAATCACTAATCGTGTAATCAGTTTTGTTAAACGTAGTTCTGAAATGTATATTGTAATTTTTTGGGGATTCCCGTTGTTTATCATTGACGATCATTTGTTATTGATTAATTATGCGCACATTGTGTACACAGCGTGGATATTATCATTATAACCTTATCTACAAATTATTATCATTTTTATTAGAAATGACAATAGTTTTTTTTATTAATTGTTTTATTGTAATTGGTATAATATATTATAATTTCATTAATATAATATAATACCTACTTACGCATTTATAAATTATGCCGAAAAAAGCTGCTTTATCCCACGAGTGTATTATTGAAGGCGCTAAACTGTTCAAAAATAATTTGATTAAGGATTATGGTTGCGGAAATAGTAAGTACCTCGTAATTATATCATAATAATAAAATAGATTAATTATAATAAATATATATATCAAAATGTATTTAGTACAATATATGTTTATTTCATATAATAATATATTTATTAATATTCTAATTAGTTAATAGTTATATGTTTAATATTAGATGCAAAGTGATTTGTTATCATGAACCAGTCAATGTATCGGTAATTGTGGTGTTATATGAATGTAATACTAGCTTATTAATAAAGATGAGTAACATAAAGACTATTACAGACACAGGGGTTTGATTTTAAATTTAGCTGTGCATAATATTATCTTGTGTTGTTCAAATTATCTGAAATTACTGTACCTTCAATGCTATCATGGCGTAATCACGAGTCATAGTAGCTATGTGTAAATGATAATTCATAATAATAGTTATGATACTTATATATAGTTATTGAAAACTCACAGAAATATTATAGAACTATATTATTATCAGGGTTGGGATTTTATAGCATTTGCATATTTCGTATGAAATGATTAAAAATAGCAGAGTATTCAGAGTAAGCTAAAAATGTGTTTCGTGATAAGTACATAGAACTCAAATTAAAAATTGTATTTTGCTATTTTTGCATAATTTACGATTTTTTAGTTTTCAGTGCTTATTTGGACTTGTTGAGATTTTTTTGCATTTTTACCTGTTTTGAATTAAAATCGGTCATATTTTATGAAATTATATTTTAGTAAACGTGTTTTTGGATTTTTGTCAATCGTATTATTACGATAATTTCGTATTAGGTATTTGGTTCTAAAATCTAATTTTTGTTACCTGCTGATTTTGTTGGGTTTCTTTGTCGATTTCTACTGCGTTTATTAATCGCCGATTATCAAAGAACGAGCTTGGAATACGTTGTATAGAGTATAGACTACTCATTTGGATTCTAATCAGAGTGACTAAATTATTTCAAATCTTAAGTAACTACCTATACTGCCCTCCTAAAGAGAAAGGCAGTATCTCTAAAAACCAAAATATTGGGAAAATAAGTTTTTAGATTTCTTAATTTTTTACCTTAAGAGTGTGCAATAGTAAAAGTGTTACGTATACAACGCTCCAGAGATGGCGTTGTGCGCCGTATCGCCGCCGTCGCGGCTGGACGTAACCACGCCCATTGTCTCCGTGGCAAGACCTACGCGGCATACTCGCAGGAGAGGCGCATTATTATTTCACGAACGGTCTAGTTGAGCGTGTCCATACATTACTGACAATGACCATTGCGTAAATTGTCACCCGTGTATTTCTAATGTACGTACTCGCCGCGCGTTCGATCCTCGCTAGACTTACTTTTTAATGAAAGCTCCTGTTAACTTAATGAATATATGTATCAATACATAAATTACAACAAATTTAACCTGATGGCTTGATTTACATTTGTAAACTAATTACACGTAAAATAATATGATTGAATACATTTTTTAGTAACTATATTGCGTCTTTTACGTATTAACTGTAGGTACCTAACCTGAAGTACTTTTCATACGATAGTTAGTACGATTATTCTCCTAAATACGTATCCATTAGTAATGTTTTAAATATGTAATTGATATTAAGAAATCAGTTAATCATGAATACATTATTGTAAAAACTTGTAGGTATGAGTTTATCAATGCATTTATTAAAGCCATAAATATAATATATAATGAACAATTTTGTATAATGTATATTTTTCATTTTAATATAGATAATTTATTATTTTTGTTTTTTATTCTTTATATTGTTAAGTATATGAGCCGGTTCTTTAATATCGGTAACCAAAAGTCTCTTCCCATACTGCGGGTTCACAATTTCCGGTAGTAAACATTCTTTGTAGAAACTGTAAAAATGTAATGAAGTAATAATATTTAAGATTTATGTAGATATAATATAATACAACATAAGTCAAAACAAATAAACAAAAATACAATACACATAGGCGTAACATGTGTATACCTATTGTATATTAATTGTATTTTTATTTATTTGTACATTAAACATTTTATTACTAACCAAAAACAATTATATTGTATTTTGTCAAACAAAAACACTGATATTTGATAGTGTTTACAAAATATTATTATACTTGTTAGCATATTATTATAATATTATAGTTTTTTACTATTGTTATACAGTATACACATTACACTAATTATACTTACACCTCAAGTTTGCTAACCATTTTATTCGACCAAAATGATTCATCGTATTCAATAATTTGAACTTTAGACCAATTATCAGTATATACTACAAAATAACAAAATTTTCTTTTTGAGACGTGCATTTGCCCTTGAATTTG